TGTCTACGGCCATATCACGCTGAAAGCACCGGTTCTCGTTCGATCCCCGAAGTTAAGCAGCGTCGAGCCCGGTTAGTACTTGGGAGGGAGACCACCTGGGAATACCGGGTGTCGTAGACTTTTTGGCTTGGTTATTTTTTACTTTTTATTACAAAAACTATTTGTATCCATTGCGAGACTATAATAATGATCAATTAAATCAATTATTTTAGTTTTAATTACAATTAAAACACTATTTAATTCAATAAAAGTGTATTTCGTGCGAAATATCATTTTTTGGACGTTATATATGAATGGCCCGCAAAAGCTGAACCCAATGTTGACATCAAAGTGCTGTCAACTGAGGAGACAATGAGTGACCACTTGAGTGACCAGTTGTGTCACATCGGCATCGATGACACCGCCGATGACCACATGGACAGCACGGACACCATCGGCGACACCGTCTACTCCAAGCACTGGCTCTTCAAATGTCTGGTGAACGCCGTTAAGGTATGGCAGGCGCTGGTGATTGGCCACCGATGACCACCACTTATAGCCACCACCGATGGACACCATATGTGACACAAATTGTATGTCTGAAACAGATAGTGAACGGCGAGAAGAGTGGTGATGGCGGTGATGGCAGTGGCGGTGATAGTGAGGGGTCAGCGCAAGAACCCATTGAGTTGGACGAGAGGTCGGAGGAGGAGCTGTCGATACTGTGGGACATGTCGACCAACGAAGACGTGATGGCATTCCTCTGTGAGATCAAAGCCATGGATCTGTTCGAGACGATCATCACGAGGACTAATTCGCCCCGTTTTGCTGTGAGTCTCACTCACGAGTACTGTTCTTGTGGTCGATATGTGTTAATAGAGTGTATCTGTTGTGCACTTCTTGTAGGAAATCAGTGCCGGAATATTGGCTAACATTGCCATCAATTCAGACATTTGTCTCAATTTGGCGAATAAACAGCACTTCAGGTATTTGTATACCGTTTTTGGTCACTACAGTATTTATACCGTATATTGTGTTCATAATTGTTATACCGGTATAACTTATACCCTGATATATATTTACAGAATATCCTGTGTTTGCAATTCACGAGTCATTTATGCAATTATTCACAATTTTTTAATAATTTTACTTTTTTTTGTAACTATTTCTGCAGACAATTAATCGTGGATTCGATCAGCTCTTCGGACATACCATTTGTGATACAAGTGATACGTATAGTGAGCGCATCCCTGAGCAACAGTGAGACACAGGCGCTGTGGCTGCAGACCATCCGCGAAAACAGCGACCACTTCCTGCAGACCATTCACTACTCACTCGAGAACTGTTTGAATTGCGATCTCCTGAAGAGCGTGATTCTGGTGATCAACAAAATGCTGTACTTAGACGACACGATCGGCCAGTTGTGGCTCGCGTTTGACCGGCGATACGAGTGCGTCAA